TTGCGTCGTGGCCATCCCTCCTGTCGGGGGGGGGTGATGTCTCACTTTCTGTCTCTGTCTTCCCAGTGAGAACAGAAACCCTATAGCAAAAATCTCTCTCTAAAAAAAAAAAAAGACACAGAACCTTGCCAGCGCCCTGTAAGAATTCCTTCTACACCTTCCCAGTCTGCACCTGCGCCTCCTAGAGAAGGCTGTCATTGTGACTTCTGTCATGACTGATGAAATAAACTCACACTTCAGGTAACGAGGATCACATGTACATTCTCCTTTGTTCAGACCCATTTACTTGGTATAATATCCGTGAGCCGTGTCTGTTTATCATCTCCATCAGCAGTCCGTCTACTGTTCATTGCTCTATGGCACCCAGTTACATAAACACGAAAGACTTTGCTCTCTGTTCTTCTGGATGGAGAGACTTCTGGGTTGTTTTTCCATTTTTGGCTATCACATAGTGACTATGAACGTTCTTGGGTCTTCCTCTCTTCATTCGTATTTCTTGGGTGTATATTCAGGAGCGTTCCTATGGTCTGTCCTCTGTGTGCACCTCTCTATGCGAGGGATGATCACAGACATGTCCCCAGTTGGAAACTGGATAGGCGTGTGTCCCATTGGAAACATGATAGTCACTAGAAATCATGATTTTATAATAAGCTCCTTTCTCTTGGATGTACTTCACACACATTCTTTGCAAGTCAAGGGTAGCTGTAGGTACACACATGCTGTTCTAACGCACTGATTTATTTTTGTTTGTTTTCTCCCCTGGTTTTATCATCGAGCTCTGTTAACTCACTACGATTTTGTTACTTTATATATCAAAGGTAAACGAGGCATATGCTTGTGAACTCACCGGGTACCGAGCAGGTTATTCACGCATATTTGAGGAATGTTTTTTGTTACACTCTGTTAAGAAGCCAACCACCATCTACTAACAGGCATTTGTTTGTTTTATCTGAATCAACAAGGTTATGCATTTAGAATATTTTCATTAAAAATAGTTTTATGTACAACATTACAAGCCAGTGCCCATTTTAATTTAATGTATTAGTTTAAATATTAATTGAGCTCCATCTAACCAAAATAGAACAGTTTTAGCCAGAATGCTGTAAAGCGCCTTATAAAAATGCCTAGAAATGATAAAATGGCAAATATTTGAAGATTGCTTGCTATAAGCAACACAGGATGTGCTCAAAGCACCGAGCATGCATTAACTTATTTAATCCTGACAACCTATGCAGTTATTGTCCCCACTTTCCAGCACGAGGATACGGAACCACAAAGAATGGCATGACTTGCCCGAGATGGCACAACCAGTGGATGACACAGGCAGGTTTTGAACTCAGGTAACCAGGGTCCAGAGCCGGTACACACACTATACCACACTGCCTTGTAGCGCAGTCTCTCAGTCTCTTATCTTCCGGTTTATCCATGGGGGACGAGGCTATGGGAAAGAAATCCTGCTTTCTCATCTCTTAGATGTGTTCTCAGCTTAGATGGAGGATGTGGTGTTAAAATTTTTATCATAACCTTCATAGATTCTATTAATCAGATGCTTAAAGGATGCCTACCTGCTGTCATTGTCTTCAAAAATCACACCCAAACAATACCACCTCCTCCATTTTTTAAGCCGAGGTTACACTGGGTAGATCTCTTAGAGATAAGGACTAGATGATCCTCTAGATCTTTGAAACTCTGAAAAACTGACCGTTGTAGACAAAGAAGAGAATCCTGAGTGAGTCAGGCCTTAACCACTGGAATCTGAGTGCCAAGTTCTTTAGAAACATCTGCCCTCAGTTGTGTTCATTCTGCATGCTGTATAGACAGTGTGCTGACAGTGTGCCAACCCCATGTGAGGCCCTGGGGTTGATGGGAGCAGAGCCCAGGAGTCCCTTCAGGAGCTGAAGGGTGGACCATAGGAGACAGGCAGATGCACGTGTCATGACCCACTGGTAAGTGCTCTGGGGGAGAAGAGAGGGGTAAGCAGGTGGCAGGGAGACCTGTCCATCAGGGCTCAGTCTGTAAAGGCATCCCTGTAGGAAAGTAAGTCCAGGGAGAAGGGAGAGGGTTTGCCAAGGCCCCTGGATTGGGCAGAGGCATCTGGAGAGGACAATGAGGGCCAGCTGGCTGAAGCTGAAGCCAAGGCCTGGTCAGGCAGGACCCCTAAGCTGCCTTGGGAATTTTGCTTTTTATTCTGAGAATAATAGGGAGCTGTTTTTAGCATTTCAAATAAAGAAATGACGTCAGATTTGTGCTTTTCCATGGTCCTAGATTGGAAAAGGGACAAGAGTAAAACATATTTATAAACATTTTACAGAATGGAAGGTGATTCCCATTAATTACAGAGCCTCCCAGGGAGGTTAGGATACTGTTGACAGAAGCGTATCCTGATTTCTGGAGAGAAATGGGCAGACTGGAGCCCAGTCGCAGTGTTCAGGCCGGAGTGTGCAGCCGTGTGGTGCTGGAAGCCACGTGGCTGACTATGGGTCAGATCCCAAGTGGGCTGGAAACACTCAGCAGGAGCGTGAGCCCAAGATCCTGACCAGCTAGAGGGCAGGGGAAAGGAAATGCAGTGTGACAAGACCCTATCGAGAATTCCTATCTGTCTCTGTCTCTGTCTCTGTCATGAAAGAAAGAAAACAAACAAAGAAAGAAAGGAATGGACAGGCTGCAAAGACATTCAGAGGTAAAGCCATCAGGACTTGGTGATAGCTTGGACGTGGGCAGTTAGGAGAAGACAGGTATCGAGGACCACTCCCAGTCTCTGTTTTGTGCTGCGGGAGGGATGGGTTGCCAGTCACATAATTAAGAGATGGAAAATGCAAGGTGATGCAGTTGAGAGGATGGGCAGGAAGGGAAGACCTTGACTTTAGGGTGTCTATGAGATCCTCAAGGAAGAGTGTAAGGTGGGTCCTTGGGATCTAAAATTCGAAGCAGAGTAGATCCACTAAACCACATGGATGCTTTCAGCTTCTGTAGCCCAAGCGTTGGGTTTTCTTTGTTTTTGTTTGTTTGGTTTTTTTGGGGGGGATACTTTACATATATTTTACATGAAATAATTAATAATGCAACACATACATCATCACACTAAAACAAATTATCAGCTGACCCAGGAAGTTACAGAGGTTAACACTTACATAAGTAGTGGATGAGGAAAGCATCCTTATTACCTTGAGGAGAGGTATCAGGGCAGAGGTTTTCTACAGAACTGATTCATAAAGTGTCCAGTTAACTCTGCTAAAGAATGGCAGTCAATATCTGTCTTTTGGATTCTGTAGAGACTGAGACAGACAGGTAGACCAAGTGTTTTAACATTTGGGAGTAGAGCAGGGAGCCAGGAGTTAGGCTAGTTAGATTTGCCTTATTCAAACGTTTGAAGCTTCTCTGTCCTGCACTTGGGGCTCATGTTGACACCGTAAAATGTGGGGCTCTCTTGGCTGGGTTGTCTGTGCTCTTAAACAGAAAGCTGCCTATGACTCTGAAAAGATGTGGGCCACTGTGAAATGAGCAAGTAGGCTGAAAAGAGAAATGGCTTTAGCTATGGTTTACAACTTTGTAAGTATTTGATCAGTTTTTCTTTCATATAGGAGTGGAAGGTGAGAAATGTTTATAAATGTGTTCTCATCGATGGGGAGGGGATCTTCAAAGAGTTCATAGAAAATATATATTATGAAAAACAGTGGATTTCAAAAAACGTTTGTACCAAAATAAACTTGTGTATTAATTTGCTTGTTCCATAAGCTTTCTGCCATCCCCTCATAAACTTGGCTGATGTATAGTTCATAGTACCGTGATCATGGTGTCTCCCCTTCCAGGTAAGTAGCGCCTGCTGATTCACTGAAGGAGTTCCTCTGTCCAGGGCTCTTGATATTTCTGGACAGCAGATTCAAGTGCTCCTTGTAACTTTATTGTCAAGTGACACCCATTTATGTTTTCTGGCCCTAGTCATGCCCCCCAAGGGCACTGTTTGGTGAGAAAGATGAGGCCCAGAGTCCAGTGATGGTGACTGTGAGGAGACGGCACAGAGGCCTTTTAACTGTGCCCTTCACTTCCTGGCAGGTGACCAACCCATCATCTGTCCAGGTGCTGTAAACAAGGACATCTGAGGTGCCTTCCAGGTCTGACCTGGAGTCTATGGAGGGAGCTGCAGTGTGGTCTAAACTGGGCAACAATGGCCGAAACTCACCAGCCCCACAGCCTGGCCTTGGATGTTCCAATCCCCCTGGAGGCCAGCCACCAGCATCCCAGCTGACTGTGTCCCCATTTTATTAGAAAGGACTTTCTATGGCCTCACTGTTCATAGGCAACTTTTGTTTAATTTCCTAGAAAACAATGCTGTTAGAAACAGTTTTGCTGGCGACTTTTGATCCTTGGTAGTGTTATTTCGTATTTGTGTATATGCCAGGACTTTACATCTCCAACGCAAGCATTCTGGTGTATTCAAGAAGCAATTTTAAGGGATGGTTGTTTGAAGAGGTTTGCTTTTCTGTTCAATAACATGCATGTCTCAAATGGTTGCTTTTGTGACCTTGGTTATACCTGAAGAATGAATTTGAGGAAAATATAGTCAGGAAACCTGAGAAAGAAGTGATTAGCTTTGGTAATTGTCTGCCCTAAAAGCTGTTGGGTGGAGATTACATGTAATATTTGGAGTTTGGCTGGTTCCTTCATTGTGATTTTTAAAGCATTTGCCAGTATCCAGACACTATGCAAAATGCTGATAAACTCTTGGGAAGATGGGTGTGTTTTTATAGCTTGATTTTAAGAGTAATGGCTTATTGAAATGTAGGCACTTATCTGCAGGAGGGAAGGAATACTAATCTAACAGCAAAGGCAGAACTGCGGATTCCAGATCCCAGGACTTGCTTTCTTTTCCTATACTTAGTGAAGGAAAGGGTTACGATCAATGGATAAGCTTTCTAGGCTTCAACAGTGCCTGCTTTCTGAACAAGAACGCTATAATCCCATTAAAATGTCTCACTGCTAATGGCACCTCGGGGCCCGGCTTCAGATATTTTATTTGATGACCAGGGTTTCATACTGCAGTTACAAAGGCGCTGGATCCTGGAAGAGGGGTTCTGAATATTAAGTGATGATGTGTATCCTGACAAGGTGGTGAAGAGACGCTGCAGGCCGGATTGGCAGCAGATCGCGGGCTGAAAGTCTTCTCCCCAGCGTGACAGGTGATTGAGGAGAGCCGTCCACCAGCCCCTGGTACTTAGCATGCAGGGCTCTGAGAAGCCTAAGGAAATAGTGTTTGTCACAGGTGCCTGACGCCTCGGTGTGTCTGGACCACTAAATCTCATCTGTCCATTCTCATCCAACTTTGGAACCACATGAGAAATAAACACAGGACACAAATGGAGCTCTATGATAAAGCTAGAAACTGTGATTTAGGGGTGCTACCCCCCGAGGGCACTCTGGAATTAGTGTGGCTCATGCTCGGGGTCCTGGCCTAGCAGGAGCAGCCAGTGCCTGGTCACTTACTTGCAGGTAGAGAACAGAGCAGAAAACACCCTCCTGGAGGCAGACAGAGGAGAGAGGAGGAGGAGGGAAGGGGTGAAGTGGGGGGTGCTCAGATTTCTTCCTGCGCTCTCTCTGAGGACAATGGAGGTTGAGGAGTTGGGTGGGATTAAGGTGGGGCTAGAGAGGCTGGGCTGTTACTCCCTGCATATCCCATGTGGGAACATCAGACCTAGGCAAGGAAGTTGATCTGAAACGTTCCAGTGGCAATGGCAGGTCATGGTCAGCATACCTGCAGAAGAAGACAGACACGTTTCTATATGTTTTAAAATAATTTTTCATCACTCAAGAGTGACATAATGCATGGTAGAAAATTATCAACTATATACAAGCAAAATAGAGAAAATCAATATCAGTCACTGCCCACTAACCCAAAATAATGACTGTGAACAAATATTTTGGTATCTTTTCCTGAGTGTGTAACAGAGAAGTTGAGTGTATACCATTTCGTATGCCTCTTTTTAAAAATTATCATAAATAATTCTAACAACTCTAGAAAATGATTCTTTACTATTGCTTATTAAAATAAAACCTTTTCTGCTTTCAGCTTACCTATTTGTCAGAGGTCTTAATTTAAACTGGTGGTCAGGATTGGTGAATGGATACACATGTGGTATTTGAAGTAAGATAAAATGGGCTGTGTGTGGTGCAGCAATAAAACATGACGCTCTGTGAAGCTGATCCATGTGGGAAGGTTCCGTGTTCACCTGTGACCTTTGCTGAGTACACTGGGCACACGTGTACCCATAATATGGGACTGTATTAAAGTTACAGGTGGGTCATCAAGGCCTGTTGGGGGTGCATCTCTCTCCTGTGAAAAAATAAATACATAAACCTTAATATTATAACAGCAGAGTAAAATAGGGGCCAGCACATGGCGTGGTGATCAAGGCACTGGATTCCTTCTTGGCCAACTACAGTTTGAGTCTTGGATCAGGCAGCTTGGAAATTATGCTAGGTGCGTGTGCGCATGCCCAAAATCTGTACAGAAGAGGTGAATGGAAGAGAAGAGCTTGTGGCGTGGCCATTTTCTGCTCTCCTCCAACCCCTCACCAAGGGGTGATTTCTCACTTTCCCTCTCACTGTCTCTCTCAGTCTCTCTCCAGTGAATGCACGTGCCCTATGACAACCCCCTCCCCCCAAATTTTAAAAACAAAACATTTATAATGTTCATGTATGTCTGTCAGGGCTCTTTACTATAGGCAGCAGAAAGTGGCTTTGGCCGCCTAAGCAGAGAAGTGACTGGGCAGCTGGGGAACTGGGAGAACTGGAGTGCTCAGAGGAAGGCTGGGCTTCCTGGGACAGCACCCAGCACCCAACCCCAGAACTGGTCTGACGAGAAAATGCCACATGGAATTTGTGCCAGGACCTTAACTTATCACAGCCATTGGCCCCACTATTGTCAGAGCTACTTCTGTATCAAGTACCCAACTTCATGGCCATCACCTCCCCTGAAGAGAGAGAGTGCTCCCCTCTCCCCCAGGTCCCAGCTCCTGAGTGAGCCTCTGTGCAGGGTCGCCTGGTGGCCAGAGCTCGTTCTCCCTCAGCCTTGTCTCTAGTTGCAAGGAAAAGTGGGCAAGCAAGTGTCTTGTTTTTGCCTCTTGGTTTGGAAGGCAATCTTGCCTCATTCAACCTGGACCAAAATGGCGAACTCAGCAAACATAGAACGCAGTCTGGGCAGTGGGTAAACAACAGAAGAAAAATATTTTGGTGTGTCACGTGATGAAGCCTTGCCTTCCCTGGGGTTTTCCAATAATGGACCCACTTCCTGTCATAATTATGGTCGCGATATTGACATCAGTCCTGTTGGCTCCTGTGGTTTGGACGAGCTGGTCTTCTTACCTGCCTGTCCCACAGACTAGGAAGATCAACTAAGATGACAGTACTCTGAAAACAGTAAAGAACATGTAAGTTATTGGACCCCTCAGCTGATTCCTTTGTATCTCCTTTCCAGTTCAATCTCTACCTGAAACTATTTTGAAGGTTAACATGGATCTGATAAACAATGAAGTGACTTCTGGCTTGACTCTCTGGCTGCATCTGACACCTCTCCACCCCTACTCCCTACTTCCACCCCCATGCATGATTGCCAAACCACAGACTGCTTCACCTGTGCCATTTTCCGGGGTTGTCTCTGTTTCTAGAGCCTTGATCTGACTTCTGTTATCTTCTACTAGGAACAACCACAGTCACCATCATTATGCTCATTGCAACTAGGCAATTCTTGAAACGTATTTCTGACTATCTGCCCCTGCTCAAAAACAATCAGTGACTCCCTACTGCTCACAGAGTAAACTCTGCTGCCAAGGGTCTTCACCATTAGGAACCTGGCTCTCCATCTAGCATTATTTCATAGTTCTCAACCAGTATCTTCAACTTCATGTATTCAAACCAATTACTGCTAACTCTTCAACAATGTGGGTTTGAACTATGTGGGTCTACTTATATCCAGTTTTTTTTTCCCTAGTAAGTATATTGGAAGATATAGTTCTGTAAATGCATTTTCTCTTAAGATTTTCTTAATATTTTTTCCTTTACCATACTTTATTGTAAGGACATAGATATATTATACACACTATGTACAAAACATGTGTTAATTAGCTGTCTTATGTTATTGTAGGGCTCCAGTCAACAGTAATTATTAGTCAAGCTTGGGGAGAGTAAAAATTTATATGCAGGGGCCAGCAGGTGGCATGGGGGGTAAGGTAATGAATTTCCACATGGCCAAATGCAGTTCAAGTCCTGGCCCTGGTGGTTTGAATATCATGTCGGGTGCATGTGTGTGTGTGTGTGTGTGTGTGTGTGTGTGTGTGTGTGCCCAAAACACTGAGAGGAGAATAGAGGAAAAAGGACTTGTGGTGTGGCCATACACACACACCCCCAGGGGTGTTTCTCACTTTCTCTGTCTCTCTCCAGTGAGCACCTGTGCCTTATGGCAAAACAAAACACAACGAAAATTTATATGCAGATTTTCAACTGGTTGGGGGGTTGGTGCCCCTAAGCTTTGTGCTGTTCTAGGGGCAACTGTACTTGTGGTCTCCCCAATGTGCCCCTGTCTGGCTTTGTTCAATTTTGTCTTCTTCTTACAATGCCTTCCCTCAGTTTCATCTGTCAAAATATAAACCTTTTCTCTGATTCCTAAACCATGTTGTATCTGGATTCTCCTTTGTAATTGTGTTTTGTTGGAATCTTCTCTATTTTTTCGTGGTCAGTCTTGGCAGATGTCTGTCTTATCAAACCTTTTAAGGAACCAGCTTTTGGTTTTATTATTGTAGTTGTCTAGTTTATTGACTTCTACCTTAATTATTTCCTTCCTTTTGTTTCTGAGTTTGCTGTTATTTTTCCAACTTTTGCATTTGTGTGCTCAGCTTATTTACTTTTGAACTTTGTTTCCTGATAAATGTACTTTAAACTTTACATTTTCCTCTAAGTACTGCTTTAGCTATGTCTCTGAATTTTTCACATGTGATGTTTACATTCTAATTCAATTCTAAATGCTTCTCCTTGACATTCTTCAAGACCTTTTATATATTCTGCCTCTTTTCTAAAACACCTTTCCCATCACCCATACAGGATCTGATTCACTTTGAGGATATTTTTCTTTATAGCCTTCTTCTTATGATCTGCCATACTGGTATCTGGGTGGACGCTTTCATCCCTGCACTGAACAGTCGTCTCTGGCATGTGTAAGGACTGTGTTCATCGCTTCTGCTCCAGCCCCTATCATAGTGCAATAGTAGCAGGTGCTTACAACTAATAGATTGGCTGGAGCAAAGGACTTTTTTTAACTCCTATGTACTGAACACTCCATAAGGCTCAATCCACAAGTATTTACTACATTTATTAAGCACCTTCTGTTTATAAGTCACTGTGGGAAGGTCCTGTGGGTGAGTTTAAAGGGTAAATCCTTGAGATCCTCTCTCTCTCTCTCTCTCTTTCTTTCTCTGGCAAGTGAAAGCACATTATAGCAAAAACTAACTAAATAAATAAATAATTAATTAAAGTTGACTCTTCGGTGGAAGCCAGTAGGTGGCATGGTGGTTAAGGTAAGGGACTCTCACATGGCTGATCACAGTTCAAGCCCCAGACCTGGCAGCTTGAAAATCATGCTGGATGCTTGTGTGTGCATCCCCAGAATCCTGAGAGGAAAATGGAGGAGAAGGGATTGCAGGTTGGCCATGTCTCCTGGGGGGTGATTTTTCACTTTCCCTCTGTCCGTTTCTTTCCTCTCTGATGAGGACTTGCACCCTATGGCAAAAACCTAGAAAAAAGTCACTCTTCATAATACTATTATATACATTAAATATTCTTAATATCTATCAACTTACATTATTAATCAAACTTTTGCAAATAATATATCTCCCAACAATTGTAACCTTCTCCCCAGTGGTGGTTGTGCCCCAGATGAGCATTACTGACCTGAGCTTTTTTTTAATAGACCACAGATTAGTTTATTTTTAACATCCATCAAGCCATGAATTCATAAGGAATAGGTTCCAGTAGCTCAGGCTCCTTTCCATTGGTTCTCACAAAGTGTGCTTCTCTGGGTGGAGCAGGCTGACGCTTTGGTAGAACCAAGGTACCTTTCTCTTCGGCTTCTTTCTTTTTCTGGGCATTTTCCTTCACATTTTAGGAAGCTATCTCTGCTCTTAGTATGTTTAATATGCTCAATATGCACATTGATTCTCTTGGCAAGAATCTTGCCCTTAACTTGTTTGTTCACAACAATGCGGACAGCATGCTGGGTGACACTGTAGACTCTTCCAGTTTTGCCATGGTAACATTTGTGGGGCGTTCCTTTTTGAACAGTACCCATTCCCTTAATGTCTACAATATCACCTTTCTTGTAGATTTGCATATATGTCGCTAAAGGAACAACTCCATGTTTTCTAAAAGGTCTAGAGAACATATATCGGGTGCCTCTCTTCTTTCCCTTTGTGTTCGTCTTTTTGGTTAATTACTGGAAGATGGCAGTTCTGGCCAAAAGGCCTGACCTGAGCTTTTCAAACATGTTTTATTTCCCAATTTAAGTTTTACGATTTCCTAATAATAAAATGCTATATTCAAAAACTGTAATTGTTTCTTGGAAATGTTTAAAGCAATTTTGGTGTTTACATATGCACACAAGATGTGTGTCTATGTGTGTGTCGTAGATTTAGGAGTTGTACAAAAGATTGGTATTGCCTCTGAATATGCTTGTTCTTAATAGTATTTTTCACTGTATCTCTCTTTCTTTCATAATGTGCTTATTGTGGGGAAAAAGGTTGCTTTTCTTGTAGAATTATCTCCTCATCTGGATTTTGTTGATTGTTCTCTGTAGGATTATCAAACATGCTTTCTGTTCTCCGCACTTTATATAAATTGGTAGATGGCTCTAGAGACTTCATCAAACTCAGTTTTGATTATTTTTGGCACAAATTATTTCATAAATATTTTTTTCTAAATTTATGAATTTATTGGGGATTTTTAAATGCTGACTTCTAACTTTACCCACCACTCACTTATTAAGTGGGATTTTGTAAGGAGAAATTTCTCCTTGTCAGCTGTCTGATTATTGAAGTATAATTCATACTGGCAAGGCAGAATAACTGTGATTCTTTGCTTACCAGTTTTCAGTATAAAGAGTTGGTTTGCTCACTTCTTCCAGAAGTAACCAGGAAAGGGGAAGTTTTATTGTTGACTTTATTGTCTTGAATGTAAATATAGTTAATGTGTTTTAGTCCATTTCAGTTTGGCCAGTAGGAGCTTACTAAAGTTGGCTGCGGAATCCTTTTGACATACTGCTAAGTAGTCTTTCGCGTTTTAGTTTTC